CCCTAACCCTAACCCTAACCCTAACCCTAACCCTAACCCTAACCCTAACCCTAACCCTAACCCTAACCCTAACCCTAACCCTAACCCTAACCCTACCCCTAACCCTAACCCTAACCCTGACCCTAACCTAAACCTAAACATACACCTAACACTAACACTTGCCAACCACGGCCGCCACACACTATTCATCTGTGTGTATGAAGAAGTTATGCGCTTATGTACTCATGCTTCAAACCCTCTACAGGTGGCAACAATGGTTGGCGTTGCGGTCGACTAACGCGCCCACTAACAACGGCCACCCCACACTGTTCATGTGTGTGCATCCGGCATCACGCCCACCAACCACCGCCGCCACACATTTTTCATGTGGTCGTTTTCGGCATTGACACTCTCTGCGTTTATGCATGAATCACTCCGCAGGCAACTACACTGGTAAGCAGCGATGATGACAAAATCGCCCACCAACCACAGCCGCTACACACTATTCATGTGTGTGTATCCGGAATTTACAATCTCTGTATTCATGCGTGATTCGTCCCACAGGCAACAACGCTTTTATGCAGCCCTGTTGACATAAACGCCCACCAACCACGGCCGCCACACACTATTCATGTGTGAGTATCCGGCATTAACACGCTTTGTGGTCGTGCGTGAATCGCCCCGCAGGCAACAACCCGGGTAAGCAGCGCTGATGAATAAGACGCCCATCAACCACGGCCGCCACACACTATTCGTGTGTGTGTATCTGGCATTTTCACTCTCTGCATTCAGGCCTGAATCACCCTGCAGGCAACAACACTGGTGGGCGGCGCTGTTGTCAAAAAATCCCACCAACCACGGCCGCCACAAATTGTTCATGTGCGTTCATCCGGCATTTTCACTATCTACTCATCCTTGGATCTCCCCAGCGGTAGCAATATTGGTTGGTGTTACGGTCGACTAATACGCCCACCAATCAGGGCCGCCACACACTATTCATGTGCGTTTATCCGGCATTTTCACTATCTACTCATCCTTGGATCTCCCCAGCGGAAGCAATATTGGTTGGTGTTACGGTCGACTAACACGCCCACCAATCATGGCCGCCACACATGGTTCATGTGCGTTTATCCAGCATTTACACTCTCTTTAGTCATCCTTGGATCCCCCCACAGGTAGCAATATTGGATGGAATCGCGGTTGACTAAAACACCGACCAACCACGGCCGCCACACACTATTCATGTGTGTTTATCCGGCATTTGCACTCTTTTACACTCTCTGCATTCATGCATGAATCACCCCGCAGGCAACAACACTGGTAAGCGGCGCTGTTGACGAAAATTCAACCAACCACGGCCGCCACACATTGTTCATGTGCATGTATACGGCATTCAGACTCGCTGTACTCATCCTTGGATCCCCGCACCGGTAGCAACATTGGTTGGTGTTGNTAGGTGTAGTAGTACCTCTTCGGGCTCTTGGATACCTTTTTCTTGCTACGTGTGCGTGTTCTTTAGATCCTCAGATGGCTCTAGCACTTTCGTGACCACGGGCTGAGAGTCTTTGCTAGATTTTGGCATTTAGCAACTGGCATACGGTTTAATGTGAAGTCAACAACACGCCCACCAACTACGGCCGCCACACACTATTCATGTGTGTTTATCCGGCATTTGCACTCTTTTACACTCTCTGCATTCATGCATGAATCACCCCGCAGGCAACAACACTGGTAAGCGGCGCTGTTGACGAAAATTCAACCAACCACGGCCGCCACACATTGTTCATGTGCATGTATACGGCATTCAGACTCTCTGTACTCATCCTTGGATCCCCGCACCGGTAGCAACATTGGTTGGTGTTGCGGTCGACTAACACGCCCACCAACCACGGCCGCCACACACAATTCATGTGTGTGTATCCGGCATTAACACTCTCTGTATTCATGCGTGAAACGCCCCGCAGGCAACAACACTGGTAAGCAGCGCTGATGACAAAATCGCCGACCGACCACGGCCGCCACACACTATTCATGTGTGTATATCCGGCGTTTACACTCTCTGTATTCATGCATGAATCACCCCGCAGGCAACAACACTCGTGGGCGGCGCTGTTCACAGAAAATCTCACCAACCACCGCCGCCACACACTATTCATGTGCGTTTATCCGGCATTTTCACTATCTACTCATCCTTGGATCTCCCCAGCGGAAGCAATATTGGTTGGTGTTACGGTCGACTAACACGCCCACCAATCATGGCCGCCACACATGGTTCATGTGCGTTTATCCAGCATTTACACTCTCTTTAGTCATCCTTGGATCCCCCCACAGGTAGCAATATTGGATGGAATCGCGGTTGACTAAAACACCGACCAACCACGGCCGCCACACACTATTCATGTGAGTTTATCCGGCATTTGCACTCTTTTACACTCTCTGCATTCATGCATGAATCACCCCGCAGGCAACAACACTGGTAAACGGAGCTGTTGACGAAAATTCAACCAACCACGGCCGCCACACATTGTTCATGTGCATGTATACGGCATTCAGACTCTCTGTACTCATCCTTGGATCCCCGCACCGGTAGCAACATTGGTTGGTGTTGCGGTCGACTAACACGCCCACCAACCACGGCCGCCACACACAATTCATGTGTGTGTATCCGGCATTAACACTCTCTGTATTCATGCGTGAAACGCCCCGCAGGCAACAACACTGGTAAGCAGCGCTGATGACAAAATCGCCGACCGACCACGGCCGCCACACACTATTCATGTGTGTATATCCGGCGTTTACACTCTCTGTATTCATGCATGAATCACCCCGCAGGCAACAACACTCGTGGGCGGCGCTGTTCACAGAAAATCTCACCAACCACCGCCGCCACACACTATTCATGTGCGTTTATCCGGCATTTAGACTCTCTGTACTCATCGTTGGATCCCCCCACAGGTAGCAACATTGGTTGGTGTTGCGGTGGACTAACATGCCCACCAATCACGGCCGCCACACGTTGTTCATGTGCGTGTATCCAGGATTTACACTCTCTGTAGTCATCCTTGGATCCCCCCACAGGTAGCAACATTCGTTGGAAATGCGGTCGACTAACACGCCCACCAACCACGGCCGCCACACACTATTCATGTGTGTTTATCCGGCATTTGCACTCTTTTACACTCTCTGCATTCATGCATGAATCACCCCGCAGGTAACAACACTGGTAAGCGGCGCTGTCGACGAAAATCCAACCAACCACGGCCGCCACACATGGTTTCATGTGCGNGCAACAACACTGGTAAGCGGCGCTGTTGACGAAAATTCAACCAACCACGGCCGCCACACATTGTTCATGTGCATGTATACGGCATTCAGACTCGCTGTACTCATCCTTGGATCCCCGCACCGGTAGTAGCAACATTGGTTGGTGTTGCAGTCGACTAACACGCCCACCGACCACGGCCGCCACACACTATTCATGTGTGTTCATCCGGCATTTACAATCTCTGTATTCATGCGTGATTCGCCCCGCAGGCAACAACACTGGTAAGCAGCGCTGATGGCAAAATCGCCCACCAACCACCGCCGCCACACACTATTCATGTGTGTTTATCCGGCATTTTCACTCTTTTACACTCTCTGCATTCATGCATGAATCACCCCGCAGGTAACAACACTGGTAAGCAGCGCTGATGGCAAAATCGCCCACCAACCACCGCCGCCACACACTATTCATGTGTGTGTATACGACATTTACACTCTCCGTATTCATCCTTGGATCCCCGCACCGGTAGTAGCAACATTGGTTGGTGTTGCAGTCGACTAACACGCCCACCAACCACGGCCGCCACACACTATGCATGTGTGTTTATCCGGCATTAACAATCTCTGTATTCATGCGTGATTCGCCCCGGAGGCAACAACACTGGTAAGCAGCGCTGATGACAAAATCGCCCACCAACCACCGCCGCCACACACTATTCATGTGTGTGTATACGGCATTTACACTCTCCGTATTCATCCTTGGATCCCCCCACAGGTAGCAACATTGGTTGGTGTTGCGGTCGACTTACATGCCCACCAATCACGGCCGCCACACGTTGTTCATGTGCGTGTATCCAGCATTTACACTCTCTGTAGTCATCCTTGGATCCCCCCACAGGTAGCAACATTCGTTGGAAATGCGGTCGACTAACACGCCCACCAACCACGGCCGCCACACACTATTCATGTGAGTTTATCCGGCATTTGCACTCTTTTACACTCTCTGCATTCATGCATGAATCACCCCGCAGGCAACAACACTGGTAAGCGGCGCTGTTGACGAAAATTCAACCAACCACGGCCGCCACACATTGTTCATGTGCATGTATACGGCATTCAGACTCGCTGTACTCATCCTTGGATCCCCGCACCGGTAGTAGCAACGTTGGTTGGTGTTGCAGTCGACTAACACGCCCACGAACCACGGCCGCCACATCTGCCGTCGGTCCAGCGTACGCCGTTGGTTGCAGTTAGTATATGCCTGGACTCCACCGACGCCGACAGATGTCAAATTGATGCTAACGGAAACTTGTGAGCCCCCGCCGAATTTTGTGTTTTATTGCCACGCAAAACCCCAGACGTGTTTGATGGTGGCTGACGAGGCACCCGGTGATCCTCGTCATGGCTCGTTGCGGTACGGTTGAGTTACCTTGCAGGGTGGGGTTTTGCAATTTCCTCGTTATTGCTCGGTCCAAGATCGGCGGTGTTTATTATTATCTAACCTCCGGTACCCGTTGGTCGGGAAACGTTAGCATTGGGCAGTATTTTTGAATTCCGGGCATTGAGCAAGGTATTTTTTCACGCATTTTCACGCGCTTCCCGTGAAACAACTCCGCCGCACCTCAAATAGAGCAAGACCTGACGCGCCGTTTGGTGTGTGCTATGTTATCCGAGGAGCCTTGGTCTGTGCGGCATTGCAGATACCGATTTCGACGATCTAGCGTCGTGCTTGGAAGCCGCCGGACCAGAAACAATAACAACCCTGTGTGTGCATCCATCTGCCATAAAGGCGGGTATTGACCGGTTGATATTTTCGTTGGAAGCGGCCTTTGCAAGGTGCTCTGCTGATATCCAAGTCGGCTTGAGGCGAGAGTACAGTCGAGTTACATGGTACAATATTGTCACCTCAGCAACAACCAGAGACACGATGGTGCCCATGACCCATTAAACCCCAACAAGCGCACCGGAAAGCAGTTGGTAGGAAGTTCGGTGTAGAACAGGGTCGGGGGTGTCTAAGACCACCTCCAGCCCACGTACCATAGTCTCGCTGCGGTTATGGCGTCTACGCCCAACCGCTGCACTATCTCGGGTGCTTGGGGTTGGATGGATTTGTCTGTGAAACACACGGTTCGGTCAATTTCGATCTGAACGTTAGTACATTCGGCATTTTGGCCGATACATTCATCGTATGAAAGAAGGTTTTGAGGTGATGGAGAGAAAGAGGCGATCTTGGCGTTGCTGGAAACGTGAGCACCCAAGGATCGTACTACGTATCGGGATCAGTTGTCGCTTCCTGGCATTCGCCGTAGGGCCTTTACATGGTGGTGCCTTGTTGGCCTCATATCCTAGCCACTTATCCGATTCGCGGTGTACTCAATGCAACCCTGAAACGGGTTCCAGCTGCCAACTCGTCGCTTTCGCTGTAGCCGGAAGCAGGCATGATTGGTGTGATTGTACCCAGCTCATCGCGGCGGCCGCGGCGCTGATAGCGCCACTGTACTGAAGGACGTCCGTAAATGCTGGTGGACTGGCTGCGCTTCGTAGATCACCATGTGCGGCAGCAAACACTGATTCCTATCTCATGTGTGTTTTCTGCTCCGCTCGCGGCCTTCCCTCGACACCCGAAGGTACCTGAGCGTAAACGAGCTCACCACGCTGCCTGAGGGAATCTTCGGGGGTCTTACGGCCTTGGAAACACTGCAAGTAGCTGTTCGACAAGGTTGTCGGTAGAAAATTTTCCGCATCGGGCTAGCTTGCGATGGAGAACAAAAGATGGCAGACCAATCGTGCCCATGACTCATTAAACCCGAACCGCTGCACTTTCTCGGATGCTTGGGGTTGGATAGGTTTGTCTGCTAAACAGGCGATTCGGTCAATTTCGATTTAAACATGCGTTCATTCAGCAACTTTGACGATACATCCATCGGATGAAAGCATACAGTTGGGGTGATCGAGAAAAGGAGGTCACCTCGAGGCGGCGAAAAACGCGAGTTTTCAAGCATCGCAATACTTAGCGGGAGTGGTTGTCGTTTCCGAGCGCCGACTGTAGACCTCTCACATGGGGGGGTCTCACTGCCCTTGTATGTCCGCCTGCGCACTGATCTATGGTTACGTCTGTATGTTGTCACTGTTTGTAGTGGGGCGTATGCGGATGTCGAACATCTGTTTGGGTGGTGCTGGGCAGTGCCATGGCACTAGCAACGATATGTACTGTAGATGTCGGCGGGGTTTGGTTCTTTTTTATTTTCCTCCATGGTCTAGTGAGCCGTCACAGGTGGCATCCAGTGCCCCCGTGAACGAATACTGGAAAGGTGGCATCCTTTAGAGAACCCCCGAACCATGAGACCCCACCCTCCGGAGAGTTCTCGCTGGTGCATCCTAAATTGCATACCTTTCGAACGCCATCCCTGCCGGAGCTCCCGGGGAGTTCTTGTTCGCACATTCGGCGGGTGAACAGACGTTAATTAACATCCTAACAGCCGTTCCCTGTGGAGACATGTAAGAGTGCTTCGATTCACAAGGGCACAGCCGTATTTACATGCCCGGAGCCCGAGGCAGAGGTGAGCCAGAGAGACCAAGGCACACGGGGCCCCGCAACCCTGAAATCATCAGATCACACATATACCAACCCCCAGAAGCTCCGTGTATCACACCGACCGCCGCGTACACCGAACAGTTGTTTTTCGGGCAAAAGTTTCCTCTACCCTGCTGGGGTCGGGGCAACACCATCAAACAAAAAAAAAAATGTCGTTTCGTCCTGAAATGTGCTCCATCGTGTGGCTAAAATGGACAAACAACACCAACCCCCCTAAACACGCAGTTTTGTCTTCCTGAGAATGTTTAACCCCGTGAGCTCTACTTTGGTGTACAAAGACATCCTTCCAATTTCGAGGACGCGCTCGCTTCAAGCTTATTGTTCCCGTGACATGTATTTCTCACTGCGGGGGCTCACTGCGGGAGGTGCTCAACTGATATAGCGGTAGTACGGCTTTTATAGGGCCGCTGTGAATGCAGTCGGTTTGATCAATAATCGACTCCGCTTGTCCGAAAGAGGATTTGGCAGGTCATCAAGGGGCGGAAAATATTCCGTTACTCTACCGAAGCATTCGAAACGTCGTCAGTGCACACTCAAAAGGGAATTCATGGCTAACTTGTGGCTGCCTTGTTCCGCTGATGGCCTCCCCTTGGCACTCAAAGGCGGCTGTCGAACAACAACCTGACCTCGCTACCGGAGGGAATCTCCGGGGATCTTACAGCCCTGGCATTACTTTAAGTATCTGGGATGCTTTTCCGCATGCGCTCAGCCTGTGCTAGAAAAAAGAAATCACCAAACATTTTCCCGGTTTGCAGAACTGCAGTCGGTGCATTCGTCCATGGGGTTCTTTGCAAGAGAGAAGGTGGATATCGAACGAGTGGTCGTTAGATGCTGGGGAGAGTACCATTGCCCTAGCAGCGCAACTGCTGGCGATTCTGTGAGAGTGTGCCTCTTTCAAATCAGCCCGCTTGCTCTAACCTTACGTCAAAGATGATGGTAAGCAGCACACCTGGAAAGAGGGTAGCAGTTCGGACGCCCTTCGGTCCTGAAATGATTGATCGTTGGCTCCGTTGGTTGAGGATGAACCTCTTACGAAGTTTCTCAACTAAACACACTTGTCTCGTGCAGATACTAAACGGTCTACAGTAATCACATCTGTTGCGGCATTCTGTTGCATTCGTGAATCTATAGACTATTCCGTTCGTAATTGGGGGCTTCAGAGGCCAGGTAGTTCAACGTGCTTCGATCAACTGCTGCCAAAGACATTCATTTTGTGGTCCACATGATACTTCGCCGGAGCACTACATTCGTCGTTGCAGCTTACGGCGTACGTGCTTAATACACTGAGGCCTGCCTGCGTTCGGCATGAGATCACACCCATACTTGTGTACTTTCCTCATTTCAAGTGTATTCGGCACAATGGTTTCAACCTGCCGGTTCTCTGGCAGATCCTTTCCTGCTAACGAGAACACCTGCAAATCCAGGAGTTGTGGTTGTATTTTCCGCTTGTCGGGAATTGTAGACATGCGTTGGCCCGAGGTAGCGGGCAATATTAGTCATTTTCCCGACATGGCCCACCTTTTGGGTGCCCCTCTTACAACACATCTCCTTTCTCAAACCCCTCCGGTTTTACTGAACGTTCTCCCTTTCCCTCGCGAGATTATGTTACATCTCTGGAGAAGTGTATCGATTTCCTCCCAGGCAAGCCATGAGAATAGAGGAGTATCGTCCTATTCTTGAATTGCCATTTTCGCTCTACCTGGAACACCATCGGCGCGATGCTGCCGCAATGATTTGTTGCTGTGTTAGGCGATGGCTCCTCACCAACTGTTCGAATCGTTAGTGGCCACCATGCTAACCTTGTTGTTCCTTCCCCAACGGATGATCCGTTGTTGCATCTGCCGCTCTCGTCCGGCCATGCGCCGGAAAATCTCGTTCGGGACCTGAATTTTAGGCGCCTGGACGGGAACTCTCTCGAGTGTTTGCCCTCAAATGAACTGTAAGGAACGCTTAATAAGCATGAATCTATCGCTTTGTATTACATATCAAGAGAAGAATATGGACCCTATCGCGTGTTTGCGGATCCGGCCAGCATCACGTAGATACCGAGCACACCTGTTGTTCGCTGCTGCTCGTGATGTGAGACAACTGCGTGTTACTACAATAACCAATTGGTGTTGATGCAGTGGCCCTAACCCTTGTGATACGTGATGCGAGAAGTATAGCATTTACTTGTCAGAATGTTGAACAGAAACGATTCGTCGAACACTAAAATAGTCGAGCCGCTTGGGCTATCGCGTTGGCCATATTGGTCGGGCCCACAACTTGTTCTGATTCGCACGCGTGGGCTCTTAGCACGTCTAAATAATGCATACCCCGGTGGTCTAGTTGGTATCCTCAACACCTTTTAGAGGTCAGATCAAGGGTTCAGATCCCGGCATAAGCGAGCTTTTCTTGCAAAGCGAGTTTTTTCTTGCTTCTGCTCCTGGTAGTGGATAGCGCTACTGTAGTTCGCCGTGTGTACACGGAGGGAAGAGAGTGCTGAACTCTCCTCGCATGAAAATCGAAGGCAACGTACCGCAGGAGGGGAGGTAGAGAGGGGACCTTCTGTGTGACCACGGGTTGGAGTAAACGGCACTTGTGCTGTCCACGCTGATTTGAAGTGGAAAAAAATAAAACTTCCGTTGAACCGTCAGAAAACAGAGTTTTTCCCGGCATCCTCCTTGCTTGCTTTATCCATGTAGCATGTCCATTGATACATACATTGCATCGTAGATCGACCTCGCCTTATTTACTTCGACTGTCTGTATAGCGAGACCTGTTTGACCTCCTGTGCGCACTTCGCAGGGTGGAAGTTGATGATGATGCCTCGGACAATGCACCCGGGCCCCACGTTGATGCATACGGTGACGAATGTGGTGAGTGGCTCGCTGACAACGATATACCGATGGGCTCGGTCCCGGTTCACCTCAACGAGCGCAGGCTCCGGCCCCAAAGAAATTCCCGAGCTCCCTGCATATTTAAGGTGAAACGAGGAGGCAGGAGCGTCGTCGTGTGTAGCGTAAACGCAAGCGCGAGCTGTAAAACGTGGAGAGAGCATGAGCTCGCCCATCACCCGGCCGTCCGGTCCAGGGTGGGGGAGGGTGGTGAACACGCGAGAGTTGAAGCCCATNTGCAGCTATCATGGCGGTGACCACGGAGTCGGAAACGAAGGATGCAGGAGACCCAGAGTCCAGAAGCGCCACTCGCGCGAGTTGAGAAGTGGCTGTAGTTCCTCCATGCAGCAGGACCCGGGTGGTGTATAGGTCCGAGTCCAACAGGAGCGTGCCGCCGACCAGATCGGGCCTTTGTTCGAGAAGAGGAGGCTGGTCTGCAGAAGCGGAGGTCGATGCCACCAGATGAACGCCAGGAGCATGGTCCCCCGG